TCATCAAAGCATTCACACAATAATGTGTGCATTATTTAAAAAGTACCTCCTACATTTGTTGTGAATGAGAAAAATAGTTGTAAAGACTTTTTTGTAACATGTTTATTTCTATTAGTAAGCCGACCATTGCAGACCAGAGCCCCAAGACGGGGAGGCTGGGGCACGAAAGATTCACATAAAGCATCTTCAGGAACACCGATGCTGTTGTGCTAAAGTGTGCGTGTGACTAAGCTGTGGTGTATCCTGGTAGCACTGGTGTCATCTGGACTTTATTCTAATTGACTTTCATCATTGAAGGTTTCAGAGATTCTAACAACATACAGTCTCTGTTCCTGCTAGAAGGACAAACATGATAATGTGTTTAAGAAGACATTCCTCATCTAAGTGTGTTAACTTCCTGACACAGGTCATCTACAGCAGCGGTGCGGGGGAGGCCTTTCATGGAAATATCAAAAGAAATCGTCCGACAAATCCTCCTGGATTTTGACAAACTCGACTTATCGCACAAATCCCCATTTTTAATGGTTACACACCTAAATCTGACACTAATACTCAGGGCTGTTATGTTCAAACTGAATGTCCAGTACATGGATAAAGACAGCTCAGCAAACTGCACCTAAAAGGTGTTTTGCTCCCATTAATAAGGCTGTTGGCTAAACAAAATACGTGCAACACAATGCGCTGTAGACCACAGATAAAGGACAACTTTGGTTTGCTCCAGTACAACTGCTAAGAAGACAGTGAACACTGACGATTGAATGCAGGACATTCACGTGGAAATGTCTTGGCTGTTTCGTTTCATTTGCTGTGATTTTCTTCTATTCCTTCTTTTTGTACAACAAAATAGATCCTCTGAAGGGTTACCCTGCATGGCTGGGTCCTGTTAATCATAATCGTCATATTCTGGATCCATGTCTTCACCCTGGTAGTATGCCCCCTGAGTAGAGTACGATCTCGTCTTCATTGAACAGTTTGTGTCCATTAAAATCGCCTGAAATGACAGTTGTTGAAAAG